ATGATATAACATATATGAAGCTTGTGTCAAACCTGTGGGATGAGTTACGGTCCAAAATTTCAGGCGGAAAAAGGAAAATAATAATAATAATAATAATAAATCTGAGCAATAGTAATAAGTGTGCCTTTTGGCATAGGCACACTTAATTAGTATTTTTTTCTGTTTTTGAAGAGGTGACACACAAAAAACAAAAGTAAAAACTAAATAGTGATTTACTAATAATTTCGTTTATACAATTAATTCGTTTTTTGTTCTCTTTCTTTGAAGAGGTGACGGACAAAAAAACCCCCAAAACCTAAAAAAAAAAAGTTTTATCCTCTCTATGCTCTCCTGCTTTGTGGCTATAAGCTCTCGTTTATGAAAAAGATTTTCTACTGCATATGTTTTGAATTATGCATCAAGTGAGGATCTGTGTGTGTGTGTGTGTGTGTGTGTGTGTGTGTGTGTGTGTGTGTGTGTGTGTGTGTGTTAAACAGTAATCCCTTGGATGGTTTACTAGGCCAGTGGTGTGGCATGAGTGAGACATGAGGTTTTAACCCCAAAACATATGCTGCTTCCCCGTCTCTCGTTCTGTCTACCTGTCTCTCTCTCTTTTCTTTCTGGCAGCTTAAAGAAGTCCACTGCTGCCAATCTCTGTAATGGATTCATTTGCCGTGAAAGGATGTGTTTTTGCTGCGCGCAAGCCTGTTTGTGTGTCTAACTTGTGTGTGCGAGCGTAAAGTTTCCATCTGGGATCTGCTATCAGGAGAGATGTGCTGTGAGCATGTCAGTCTTATGCCTCAGTATATGTGTGTGTGTGTGTGCCTGCGTGTGTTTGTGTGGGCGCTCATCTGGTCTTGTGAGGTCACTTCCTTCCTCTCTGGCCTCAGTGCTCTTCAAGTGTGTGAAACAGATTTAGTTGCATTTAAAGTCCAGCATTTCCCCACAAACTCATGGCGTCACACTTTTAAAATGCGAATGCATGGTAGTGTTGAATGTTTGCTACTATTAAAGTCCGCTTTTGATTCTCTTCATTTAAAAAAGGATCCATTCATTCCTTCATTTATTGCAGCAAATGCATTTCAGCAGTGGCTCAGCAGTTGCCTTGAACTGCCTGGACGGTGCTAACCTTTGATGTAAGAGCGCTAAGGAGGAAGTCAATGTATTAACGACCCAAAAACACGGAAAGGATTCCTTGAACAAAGATGGAATATTATTAATGAAAGTGTGGGACTTGCATTTCTTGGAGGTTTACAAAATGCGATTTTTGAGGTGTAATTTCCAGTTCTAATGAACATGTTTTTAAGGTTTACCTGTGGAACGGATGGGCTGAATAATTAAATATGTAGTTAACAACATCCTTATTTACAAGAATACATCCCTCTTTTCCCCTGTGTGTGTGTGTGTGTGTGTGTGTGTGTGTGTGTGTGTGTGTGTGTGTGTGTGTGTGTCACAGCTAACCGAGCACAGAGCACAGCAGCCAGCAGCTCTCAGACAGGAGATGCCTTAGGGAAAGCACTCGCATCGGTAACTACAGCACACACGCGCACACACACACACTTTCATGCACACACATTTTATAATGCTTTTCCTCCCAGTTCTGTTCAAGTGTTTTCAAGCCATTCTAGATGTGTAATACTACTTTAACTCTATCCTGTATTCTTGCAACTGTCATTGTTGTAATGGATTTTTTAAAATTTTTACAGATCTATTCTCCTGATCACACGAACAACAGCTTCTCTTCCAATCCCTCCACCCCAGTCGGATCCCCACCCTCCCTCACAGGTAAATACACCTTAAGCATCTTAAGGTCCAATCACTGCACAGCAGCTACTATATAACCACAAATCTGCACAGACTGACACTCACAGAAGAAAAAAGCAGAGCTGACTAAAGACTTGGACTCGAGTAAGACCTGAATAAATGGACGTGAGAATTGACTCATACGTGTTTAAAATGACTGGACTTTTTCAAGACTTGAGACTTTTGACTTGAACTCGTCCCACGTGACTTTTGACTTGCCTCTTTGGTAACTTGATTTGAGCTTGGCTAACTCAACCCTCTAGACCCTTTCAGTTTGCCTGAAAGAAGCATGTGATCTTGTAAGAAAGATTTCTTATTAAATTGCAGTAAAATCCTCTAATCGCACACATTCTCATCTGTGAAGCCTTAATTTGTTTTTTTTAATGTCATAAACTAGAACAACAAAACAGCTTTGTTGAATTTTGCTACTCTTGGCACTTCAATTTGATTAACCGCTGCAGGAGTCATGGTCGTGCTGCTCCACTGCTAACCGAATTTAACAGTAATATTGGTCACACAAACTCTGGAAACCAAATCACAGTTCCTAAACACAAATAAACATCATAACACTAACAAATATACAACTTAAACTCTCACATATCTTTAAGTCTTTCTGTTTTCCAAATAAAAAAATATGGTATTATAGTGTAAAAAATACACTCCAATGCATTAACAGGATTCAGTTGTATTTTTCAAAACGTACTTTTTGTTCTTTTGCATGATTGAGGACTCATGTAAGACTTTTTTTCATTCATTCTGTCATCACATTTTACACAGAGCGTAAAAAATACACATAAAGTTCAGTCTTTGTACCAAGTAGTAACTAAATTTGATCAGGCAGCATCAATGTTTGCAGTATCCCTGGCTTTCATTCTCTTCATTAAAGCTCCTCTAATAGCCAAAAACGAAAGAAAACGACAGCAAACTCAAGCTTCAAAACATATTTGTAGGCCATTGTTTTGAAAATAAAAAGTGAATTACACATTTTTGTACTTATGTAAGCATTATTCAATAATCTAAAACTAACAATAGAAACACTTTTCTTTCAGCCACTTTCTTTTTAGCTTTTTCTGCAGTGAAATTTCAAAGAAAAAACATATTTTCTCTGTACACAGTTTGAAAGCAACTTTGATTTTTCTATCATTATTAACATTATTTGCATTCTTTTAAAATGAACCAGCTCATTAAATTTGATATAGTGAGACTTTGGAAATAGTGGTATAAATAGTGACACTTTTTTGTGATAAAACTATTGAATTTATTGTTTTTTTTTTAAAGTGGACCCCCACACTTCCACATAGTGACAAATGTAAGGAAGTTTTCACAACACCTACAAATACTGCTCGTTAAACTCTTTAAATAATACTAATTTTAAAGATTTCAAACTATTTTTTCATTTGCATTTCCATTTTTTCCCCAGTATAAGATGAATATGTATCAACTACAGACATAACACATTTTAATAAATTATCAACATTACATGTATTAATATGATTCTGTGACTCTGTGAGTTTAACCGTTATTTAATGAACCCCTTGACTTTACCTAGTGTAAAAAAATACAGATTCTCTAAAAAGGTTTGCACTGGCTGAAGGTTACCTCTGACTTGAAGTTTGAAAGCACTTCAGAATTAAGTTAACAGCACTGGGTTGTTTCGACTGGTCTGAAACCTTAAATCTTTAATACAGCTCTGGGGATGAGGAGAGTATTAAGTTATCCAAAATATATTTAAAACACTAACTGAAACTATATATTTAATTGAATAAACTAGGGATTTCTTTCCTTATCAAAAGTGCAATTTCTTGTCATAAGACAAAGCCAAAATAAGGCATTAATAATTGCTGTCTCCTCTTTGCACCCCTCCTCGCTCTCCTATTTCCACCAATTACTCTTTCTCTCTGTGGATGCTGTAAACTCTAGCTGCTCCTTAAAGTGAAAAATGACTTTTCCTAATAATAGTTGTGTCGAATTTGTCTCTAATTGTCGCTGCTACACACACCGTTTGATAGTTCGCCGCCGCGCCTTGTGACTGATAGCTTTAATTACGAGCACCACTTCGACAAATCGTTCACAAACCTACCGGCTCTGCAAACACAGTCCCCCTCCCCTCTTCCTCCTCCTCCTCCTCCTCCTCCTCCTTCTCTTCGTCATTGTAGCTGTCTAGGATATTGCCTGCTAAACCATAATTGGTGTTTATCATTGTGTCAGAGTTACTCCACTTTTTACAAATTAGAAATGAAGCCTATTAGAGCAAACTACATGCAAATTGATATCCAAGGCTAATTTTGCAAGGGTGTTTTACAGCATTGGACTCGGAATAATTTACCCTGCCGTTTAATACATATATTTGTATTTGCACATGAATGTACCCAGGTGATTATTCATTAATTAGCATATGGAAATGAGCATGTAATATGAATAAAGGAGAGGGGAGAGAAACGACTGCGAGACAAAGTGGGAAGACAATGAAAAAGAGAAACGTGCTAATGAGATGAGATCAGAGTTACAAGGAAGAGATCGGCGGTGAGGGCAGAGAGGGGAATGGAAGGGGTTCAAGGAGAGAGAAGGGGGAATAAAAGAAGAGAGCCGAAACAAACACAGGAGGAGGAGGAGAGGTATAAAAAGGGAGGAGGAAAGAAGGGATCTTTAACTGCCTGGGCAGGTTCCAACATGGGCAGGTTCAACCATTATAGATCAGCATAGATGGTAAAATTATGAATTTGAATGAACATTAAAATAATTACTTTTAGCAGTTGTTACGTTGTTAGTTAGCGGTTCAGTCCCTCCATGTTCACACATGACTTCAAGATAGATTTTTGCCTGGTGGCCAAACCGTGTTACTAAAACTTCTGTTCATTGCTAGCCATCATTTTGTAATCCAGTTTCTTGTTGAAGCAAACAGGGTCTTGGGAGCAGAATTTTCTTAAATCGAGAAATCTACTGTAGCTTAATGTCTATTTTTAGATTGACTTTTATTTAAATGTATTTGGCCACAGTATAAAGTACTTTCCAGAAGTCAAATGGTATGCATACATCTCTTCCCTAATCTTTCTGAGTAAAATTCTGTACTCTCAGAAATAGCTTTATATTTCTGCCACCAAAGCACTTCCTAGGTCTGATTATTGGACCGAGGTATTTATATTCCCCTTTCTGAGAGACAAGAAGATACTAGACTCTTTCTTTCAAATTAATTTGGACAAGTTTTATTCTGCTTGTGTCTTTGGGAGCCGAAGTTAGCAATGTAAGAACTTTTACGCATTAACCTTCCTGAGGTTTTTCTTATGCCAATATGACCATAGGTGCAGATGTGAGATAGCTAAAGCATTGAGTGGTCAGTAAGACAAGAAATGGGACATTCAAGTGTCACCTTATTTCAAAGTGTGTAGTGATATTAATAAAAATATGAATTTGCTGGGCATACCTGTATTCAGTGTTGCTATCAGGTTTTATACCACTGTTTTACAGTACAAAACACAAATAAGTAGCCCCAGCGTGGGTGCAACAGCAGCACCTTCCAAAAAGCCTCTTAAGGTACAATAACAAGCTGTTTTTAGCTTCTCCATGTTTGTTCTGGCGGAGTATTACCGTTCCCAATACAACCCTGAAAGGGGATTTGTGACTTTGTCTGGAATTGAACCAGCAACCTTTTGGTTGCTTGCTAACTGTATTGACCACTAAATTGTTTCAAGAATAATTATAGCCCATATGACAAGATTATTCATTGCTTGGTTAGACGTGGGTACCACCAAAACCTGGTCAGATTTAGGAAAAGATCCAAATCTGACCAAAAAAAGCTTTTATAAGCTTTAACAGACTTCCCAAATTTAGAAACTTCTGCTCTCAAGACCCTGTTTCCTTTACAGGAAGCTGGATTACATACATATTGTTAAAATTTGCGATATAACGGTTGTATTGATGCATAGCAGCTACAGCATGTAAAAATGCTCTCATGGACGTGTTCAGTGTCAGGCTAAAAAGGGTTAAAGCACCTAACCAAGCTGACCTCTGAAAGTTGTGACTAAATGCAACTAAATGATGGTGAAGGTGGTTCTCATGGTCATTTTACACATTTCTGTGAGACCAGTTTCTTCTAGCACGTTCCAAACTGGCTAACATGCTCACCGGCCACAGCCCATTCTTGTCTCTTCTGTCATCTGTTGAAAGAACTACACATACTGGCCTGTCGTCTCTCAGAAACTCATATTAATGTAAATTTGCACAAGTCGCTGTGTCTCCTCTGCCTACCAGCTAATGAGACCTTTCGATTCAGATGTGGCCCTTCAGAGTGAAAACCAGCACAAAAGCAGAGACGAGCAGGAACACAAAGCTTGTTTATTCTGCAGAGGGCCCATGCTAATCAACCACTTGTACCTTTTCAAAGACAAAAGCCTGATATTAGCATTTTTGCTATGAGATATGAGTTGGTTTGTTTTTGTCTCCTCTTCCTCGTCTCTGTGCCTATTATGTCTGATCGCCACGAGTGGATACGATTAAAGGGTCTCCTCGTGTGTAAAGACGTTTTGTCTGGCATTTTGTGCTGCACGTCGAGTGGCTTCTGTCTTTGACATATAAAAGCAGAGGTTTTGGCTCTATTCCACACGGACATCCAGCCATTTTCTGCAGGGTCACGGAGGGTCGGTGTGTATCCAGTGTGCACTGGGCCTATCAAAGAACACATACAAATGAAGACATGTCAGCTTGCACTGTAAAAAAGCAGAAAAAAAGTTGAATTCCCATCCCGATCACCTACTCATATCCGCCTCTGATCTGAATTCTCTCAAGTTGCCCTTGCTTTTAATCTGCCTCAGACCTCTCCATCTCAACATGATGTGTCCTTGTCTCCTCTCTCCTAGCTGCCAGTTCAGCCGTCTGGTCGAGGAATGGCGGGCAGGGAGCATCATCGCCAAACTACGAGGCTCCACTGCACTCTCTGGTGAGCACATACATACACTAAAACACCTGTGATCATCGGTCAGTTCACCCCAAACCGTATTTTTCCACTTTCTCTAATTACCCATCACAGGTGGTAGAAAGCAGTTTTGTTTCTCAAGGTTTTGAGATGTCCTGCACAAAAAAAACCAGCTTAAAGGAACATTTAGCAGGTTTCTTATCTCTTTTTGTCCTTTCACTCTGCAGCAAAGTCGCATCGAGGACCGCCTGGAGCGTTTGGACGATGCCATTCACGTACTGCGGAGCCACGCGGTGGGACCGTCAACGGGTATGGCCAGCGGTCACGGAGACATGCATGGCCTCATCGGGGCCGCACACACGCACAACGGCGCCATGGGTGCTCTGGGCAGCGGATATGGAACGGGGCTGCTATCGGCTAACAGACACTCCCTCATGGTAGGACCTGAGTTACTCTGTCTATGCTGTGGTGATGTCATGGTTAGTAGAACCAGGCACATTGTGAAGTCAAGTCTTGTAGGAGTTAAAAAGAAAGCATTGCTTAAATGTTCTGGAGCTTCACCAAAGACTTTAGCCTACAAGTAAAAGAGAATATCTTACAAACGGACAGAAATTCTGTTACTTCAACACAGATAATCAGAGGCATGTGATTCTTTAAAAAACAGGCTTACAAGATATTTAATGAAACTTGATTCATGCTCCCAGGACTCTAAAAATAAAACTTAAAAACAGCCTTTCCTTTTGTGCTGTTAATTAGACCAGATTTGTATATTTAAAAGTCACTTAGAAAATGTGAAACTTCACACAACTGAAAAAATGTGAGGAAGAGATGAGAGCAAACATGAATGGAGAGGAGGTTTAAACTGAAAACATGAAGTGAGACAGCAGTAATGTTTTCCATATTTAAGACTTTGGGGCCCTTTTTTCAACTTGAAACAATAAACATAAAGAACAAAACAGCTGTGTGACATAAGGAGATGTAGGAGGGCGAGAGAAAGCCCATTATAAAATACAGTACACAGTATAAACAATTCCAGATGCTTGAACATCTTCAGCCAAACCTGCGTTGTTTACGTCTTAAAGCTCGGGCAGTATCTGAAATGAGCTATTTTCTGTCTGTTAGTTCAAAGTTCTTGTCACTTGTAGTCACATTAAAGGTGCTTTTTGTAATCACCCTCTGCAGAATTTAACAAAAACCTTCACCACCAGGGCGCAATGTTTTAACACGATTTTGTGCGTGGACTGCCTGTTAGCTTTTACTACCACCATATCTTCAACAGGCTTTGTTGGCTTCATCTATATTTGTATTTAAAATAAATATGCGCTCTCAGTGACATACATGTGTAAATAAGGGCTTCAGTCACTCACTGCGCCATCCTGCGGTACAAATTGGTATTACAAAAAATTACAGCATGGCCCTTTTTCAACTTATGTTGAGTCCACTTCGACACCATATGGAATATCTTAAATTACAAGAATACCTTTAAAGTCAAATTATGTGCATTTCCAGCTCCACATTGTTATATTTAGACTTTGCGTAATTCAAAAAAACCCAAAAAACCTTACTTACCTTGTGATGGCCGTTTATGTTGTTTTAAGTGTTTATGACACAAACTGTTTTAGCTCCTGTCCCTGTAAGGCCCCCTTCTTATAAGCTCCCTTTATTCCTATTGGCTGCCCCTCGGCTGGCTTCCGCAAACAGATTTCCGTGTTTTTGAGGACCACCGCGTCCTCTTCTCCTTAAGGAGATTCCACAAAACAAATTCTAAACGTAATAGAAAACATAATTTCTCTTTTTTGAAACCGCCACAGTTGTATTTATGTATTATGTGAGAAACAAGATATTTGAAGACATCATGTTTTAGTTTTCAAAGTTTGCAAATACTCCTCATTTGCAGGCCTGTTTTTTTGGCAGCGTTTTTGAACCAACAATGTTTTGTTGTGGCTGTAATGAGCACAGCAGGCTGTAGGGGATGCCAGCAGCACTTTGCTGTGTTCCCACTACAGTAGTTCAGGAGCTTTGTCCCTCTGTCTCTGTTCTTTGTTAAAGTATTTACTTTGAAGTGTTGTTTTCTAAATGGAGAGCACCTGTGGTTGAAGGGCGTGTTGTGTGCGTTGGTGTGTGTGCTGGCTGGCTTCCCTAGAGATCATCTTCTTCTCACGCATGTCTGTCCAGCTGTCTCTCTATACTGCAGCTCAGAGTTTCATAGGTGTCGTCCAGTTTTGTCGGTCTTCCTGCATATAGTCGTATTTTTATTTGTCCTTCCTGCTTCTTTAGTCTCACCATGCGTTTTATTAGGAACACGTGGGCAGCCTATTTTAACCCAACACAACAACCTCTGTTTTTATGAAGCTTAAACAGAAAGTTTTGATTCTACTTGGTGACATTACAGCAGTTGTTGGTGTACAAAGTGTTTCAAACATTTCATCCATCACATGAGGAGGGCTAGCCCCAGTGAAGCGCTGTTGAACTAGATTACACACGCAAATGCTTCTAATAAACCTCTAAGTGTTTAATAATGAGTCAAATTAGGATGTGTCATTTTTAAGCTGTGCAGAGAAGTCTTAGCTGCTGATCTACTGGGGACGTTTCCCTCTTTTAGCTTGTGCTTTGAAGGCATGTTGGTTGGGACCAAAGCTGGGCACAAGCGAAGAAAGTCACCATTTCACTGCTATTAGCATCGTGAAGAGAAAAGGGCGAGGCATCCTTCGTGTGTCCATCCATCCACAAATCATTAGAAACGCTACTCCTTCCTACAGTATTAGTCAGATTTTAATGAAACGTGCATACAATGATTGCCTAAAGGGACCTCACACAAACTTTGCTCAACGTAATGGTCACATTTGTCATTAGTCAGTAAATTTTTAATACCCATTATTTTGTGTGATGCCGACAATGGCAAAAATAATGTGTCACTTTCTACCTGTACAGTAATAAATTACTGTACCCTGTGAATTGTGGGTTATTAGCTTGATGTTCAGGTTTAGAAACTAGTTTTGGGGATAGTATTTGTGGAGAAACTGACAGGTAGGTTTTAGTGTTATGCAGCTACTTTCATCAAATAGTTTTTACCAAAATAAAACCAAATAGGTCAGTTTGGTATTCTGATTTCAAAAGACATTTAAATTGTACGCTAAAGGAAGTCAATAAGAGGATGATATAATAATGGTAAATCCTGCAAATTAATAGGAAGCTTAATGATGTCTCTGTTCATATATTTAAGAAAAAAAAAACTACTCACAGACTTTGGCTGATATTCAGATTTTAAGTTCTAAAAACATTTTAAAAGTTTCTGTTAGACTTGAGAGACATGAAAAAATGCGTTTGACGTGACGTAATTTTAAGTTTGCTGTTAAATTTGCTGGCTTAAAATGAAGGGAAATACTTGCAAACTACTTTTCCGCTTCATCTGGAGATCATTCTAAGCACTTCTTTGCTCTTTGGACGTCCCCAGATACAAACTTGGCATTATGCTTCATGAAGTGATTTGGAATTTCAGCCCCGGAAAACATTTTGCGTTCACTTCTTGTTAAGGTTAATATTTTTCTAAACTACTTTTGGGATTAATAGCAAAACTAATCCAAATACATTTTGGATTTGTTTTTATATGTAAGCAGCCGGTGGAAAAAGAGAATGAAAATGAAGTGACGGATGAGTGCTGAAAAACAGTGTTTACTTTCGGGCTCTTTAAAGCACACACGCACACAGAAGCTCATAAATGACTCCCTGTGTTGTCATTAGGACCCATGTGTGTGTGTTTATTCAGGCTTTGGATTATTGGCTGATAGAAAAATAGACTCATTAATGTAAGACTGAAAACACAGCAGCTCTGTAACTGCACACATCACACCCCCTCTGACTGGGTCACATCACTTCACGGGGTCTCCCAAACTGTTTCTTTTCATTTTAAACCAGTCCTTATTGGACATTTCTGCAGAAGCGAAGGAAAATAAATTGAGACCTTTTTATAAGATGTTAACTGGCTTAAAGTTCTCTTGCAGCTACCTGTGTGATGAATGCGATCTTCAACATTGATATAAGTGTGAAAATTTTTGAAAAATATTGTGTTGAAAGTCTTCACTTGTGTGAACAGATGTAAACTTTCAGCTCATTTTTTATTCCCATGGTGTCAATTTCTTGCATTTTGTCAAAGCTGCTGGTGTCTTACAGAGATGCACAGTGTGTTTTGGCATCTGTACTATAACAGGTCTCTCACTCCAAAACTGTCACATATGGACGCTTGTAACCTGTTGGCATCACATTTCAATGTACTAGATAATTTTTCAATGGTGCTAATGTTTCCAGAGGCAAATATAAATCCAAGCCTCAAGTTTACCAAGTTGTTTTTAGTGACCAAAGCTAACAGGTGAGTGAAAGCAGAAGTAAAAAGTGAGCGAAATGTAGCACAAAAAATGAAGTCAACAAATACTGCAGTTCCTCCAGCTGTCACTTTAGGCTGCCTTCAAAAGTGAGCCAATCTCCACAGACTCAAGCATTAAAATGCCCAAATTTACAGTGTGGTACAAAAATCAGTCTTACCCTCTTAGGGTAGTTTCTCAGTTCTAGTCTTTTACTTTAGCACTAATTAACTGTGTCTCTTCTTTGCAGCCATATTGTTTATGAATGCAGCTTGCTAATCAAACTTGCTAGTGTTGCTAGCTTTTAACTTAGTACTCCAACTTTCATCCATCTAAGATAGCTTCTGACTTCACAGCACAATGTTGAAGCTTCAAACTCTTTTT